GACAGTACAACGAGCCTACCCAAATTTAGACAATTGCCCCTTTTTTGGGGCATCGAAGGATGTCGAAGACATGAACCAGACGCGTGGCACTCCGTCCCACGGGCATCCTCGAGCGTCGGGCTCTCGAGTGACGCGCCCGGTTGTTATCTGATTTACTGCACTACCCTTGAGTGGCTTTTCGCTGTAACTGCCCGAAGGAATTTTGACGAATGCAGAGTGTGTGACCATGGTTTCCCCGAAGACAAGAGAGATTCGCTAGACTTGGAGGTTACGGGCGTAACAAGAGAAATTTAAAAGCTGGGTCTAAGATGACCCGGAAACCGTCGTTCGAAGGTTAAAGAAACGGTGGAACGATTCTTCGTGACTTTGAAGATTCTGTCAGAAAATTCGAACAATTCGCTCGTTGCTCATCGAAGAAGGTTTCATCTCGACAAACGAGGTTACGATGATCCTCGCGAAAGGCAGTAGTCCCACGATTTTCTCTTCGAATCACTCAGTAAGCCAGGCTTGACGCAGAACATTACCTGCCGGTATTGCGTATTTCTCCGTAGTCGCCTCTCCCTGCAACGTTATTTCCATTAATCTTGTTGCCGGCTGGTCGTGAGCACGTAAATCTGAAACTGCACGCCGCTTGTAATCTCAATTTCAGCTCAAAGTCTTGAGACGACGCCGCTCGTTTCGGACGTCCGTGTCGCGTTCCTCGAAACAGACGTCGATAATTCTATCTATTAATTCTACTTATACGCAGAACGTTTCCTTTAACTCGAGCTCACTAAACTTCTTTCGACGATACGAAGAAACGACGGAAGAAGAAATTCTTGTTAAAACGAAGCTTGCTATTTTACGACAATCTATGGAATGAATTTCAACCTTCCGAGTGTTATGATAATTAACTTGGAAATAGTTTGGAACTTCGTCTAATGAACCAATACCGCGTATCTTCGAGTACCTTGGAAGTTTCGCTTTAATCTTCGAACAAACAGCCTGCGTTTTAATTGCCAAACTAACAGCTTGCATTTCAAGACTCGTCTAACCAACAAATCACACTTTCCTGGTCAAACAAACAGGATGAACTTCGAATCTTCGAGCACGCTCGCTCCTTTCGTAGCAAATGTCAATCAACTCGATTGCATTTGACTCTCGTGCGAAATAACGCGAACAAATTATAAACTAGTAGTACAACTTATAATTCGTCGTACATACACGTGATTGTACAATTGAATCGAGACAGAAATTCAGTCCTTTCCAGCCGTCTTCCTAGCCCCTAACAAATTCCTTCCCTATCATAAAACAGTTCAAGTCGCATACTGGTCATGTTTCCTATCCCTTTCCCCTTTCCGGGTTTTCCCCAAATTATTTCAACTTTTGCACACCACCTTCAACGTCCAACCAATCACAACATACACCGACCTAATATATACCCACGCACCACCACAAATAAACAGAGTTCAAAAATATTCTTACGGAGAGAAACCTCTTATTCACCATCACCACACCTACTATTAGAATTTCGCCCTTCCGGGATTAACACATCGGGAGCGCAACGATACTAACTCGAGTTCGAGCTGAAACCAGTCTCGTTCACGAGTCGAGCATCGTACACCCGTAAATCTCATATATTTTGCCATTCGAGTAATAACGAGACAAGCAACTCCCGCACGAGTGACTTTTCGTAACTTTTCGTAGCGCGGAGTAATAATCTCCATTTCGCCGTACACCCGCCACAGCTGCACAAAAATATTTTAATCAGTACACGCAATTACGGCTGCATAAAGTTCCCCAACAGCCTCTCCCTAAAAGAAAAAAAGAAGCGAGTATAAAAACGAAAGAGAGAGAGAGAGGTAGAGCCACTCTCAATACACTCAGGCTGTATCGAGTCAGCGTTTTTAATAACGCCGGAGCCACGTGTCCCCGAAAAAGCCGGCCATCGAACTTAATCAAAATGAGGCGCGAAAAATCGTCACCTCTCCTCGTCTCCTCCTGTGTCACAGGGGAGGATGAAAAATTGCGATTTGCCTTCAGTCGGCGGCGCGGAATGGAGATAGGGTGGCGGGATAGCGTAGGAGGTGCAGGAGGGTGCGAATGAATTTTCATCGCGACACGTTCGACCTGTATCTGTATCGGATTCCAATATTCGAATGTCGGCCGATCGTACACAGTAGACGCCCTCTTTCTCGTCCTATTACATATTCGTAACGGCGATGGAGTTACAGGCTTTCCACCGGCCCTTTTTCGCCCTGGTTCGCAATTTTCCCTCCACTTTGTTCGCGAAGCGGCAAGCCTCGCTCGAAAATTTCCAACGCTACGATACGGTATTGTTCACGCGAGAGAGATACACTGCAGCAAAGTATTGCGCGATTTAGATTAGATTTCGTCGCGAAAGTTGGTAGGTATCGGTAAAAATATGTGAACGATCTCCTTTGGAATCTTAATATCTTTCTAATGAGTATTTAGGTTTGTTTCACACTCGCTAAATTTAATATTTATAGTAGTGTTTCCGAATTAGTGGCACAATCCAAAATGGAACGAATTTATGTAAAAAAGGAAAGAGATTCTGCACTCGACTTTAGAGAGTAGGTTTCTGGACATTCGATGAACGAGAGTGGAAAACATATTTTTGCACACTTTACATTGATTTTTTCACGCAGATTCACCCCTGTCGGTTGGTATAACTCGTTACGCCGCGAAATTCTGGGCTGAATAGTATTTTTCCGGAATCTAAATAATTTCGTAGTGACTATCTAGGTTTGCTTTACATTCCATAAATGTCCTAATACTTACGAGCCA